TGTGCAGAGACTTAAAATGTTGCAAAAAAGTGACATCATGATGTCTGTGTGGGTGGGAGGAGCCTCCCGCAGCTACTGCTACCAATTCACCCGAGCCGGATAGAACCGGTTGAATTTCATCCCTGGATAGATCCTTCCATTTTCATTTTCAGTAAACAATGGTTAACAATACTCGGATCATGACAAAAGTACTTCTTCAAAGAAAGCATAATTGTATCCCTAACATAGCTACGGAAGGCATATTTTCAGTTGTATAGTGGGAGAGCTGCTGTATTTCATGAGAAATGTCCTAAGGAAACTTTCTATGTTTTGCCCAGCAATGAATAATGTCAAGGGAGCAAGGAACATACTGCAGTTTGAGAAATCAATTCACTGTCAGTTTCAACACCTACAAAAAAAAAGTAGCTAATTCTGCCACATCTGTAGTTCAAGCCAGATTTATGAGCTTTTCCTGCAGATGAATCTGGCATTTATCACAGTTACTTCCCCAGCTCTATGCACACAGAAGTACCTGTAGGTTAAAAAAAAAAAAAAGTTCTTACTACACTGCTCAAAAGAAATTACAAAAATAATTAAGAGAACTCTCTCTGTACTGATTTCTTGCTCTGATTTTATCAATATCTTTGTTAGCTTTTATTGGATGTTACTGGGTAATTTGGTCTTTCCTACTAGGGCTGTGTATGTTTCTAAAGTACTGAAACAAAGCACCTCCCTGATATTCATTAAAACTTTATAACATTTTTAAGGTTTCAGCTCTTGAGGGGTGGGGGGAGGTAGCAGGTGCTTTAAGAATCACATTAACTTTAATGTCAGCTGAAAAATAGTAAGGGTGCTTTAGCAAATAGCAGGGAGTGCTATGTTTGTTTGGGGTCCGATGCACTTTTTTCTAATCATTTTCAAAGTAAACCTTTAATTCTTAATGCATTTCTTGTTCTTTTCCAATTAAGCTGCAAGCCCAGTTCATCAGCATGCATCTGGAAGGGAGGACCCTTTGCCTCTTCCCAACTTCTACTAATATCAAATTTAGCTGGTTTTTCTAATATTCAGACTTCTGTTGTGGTAATTTATTAGCCTTTTTTGGGCTTCTTTGCTGCCCCGTTGTTTCTTGCGTCTTCAGATGAGTCAAAGAATCTTGGCTACATCAGTTCTTGTTTCTTATTGCATGTTGTGCTTAAATGAGGATTGTTAATATTGATAAATTTTCTGTCGACTTCAGAAAAAGTTGCTATTGTTCAGCTTTGAATCTCATTTTTTTCCTTAGTAGTTGGAAGCAAATGCCTGACTTTGACTGATCTTAACATGAAAATGCTATGCAGATTGGACCTGGCATGAACTTGAGAAGCCTGTAGGCTAGATTGGGATGTTTAAAATATATTTGTAAATATAATCTGTGAAGAAAGGACTCACGTCTTTCCTAAGAAAAAACATTTATGTATTCATGTAACAATCAGACATCTAAATCAATTCCAGAGGAGCTTTACTAAAGATACATATCCTCCTTTTCAGCAGCCTTATAGCCTTCTGGCCTATATTGAATTTTTGCTGGTGAATGTGATCACCATTTTCCATTTATTTTACTGGGCAAAAGGATGTGAGCAGTGGTTGTGGAAGTACATTGCATGCTAGAATTTTCTTAAAGCAAGAATTCTGATATTAACAGCCTGCTATCATCTAGCATTATGCCTGAGGAATGCAAAGCAAAGTATCTAAGATTTATTTCATTTAATTCCCTGTCAAAATCTACCTTCTGCTCCAGAGAATCCAAAATTTGTTCATTGAATCTATTTCTGTCTCTGTAGAAGTGAAGGAGTTATTCAAGGTAGATTCATTTTGTTCCCTCATTGCAAAAGAATGATTTGAAAATATGATTCACTGTAAGGCCACTTCTTAGAAAGCCGTAAATGATATGCACACATTTCACATTCTTTATTAAATCCATCCAAAAGCACCTCTGTAAACTATGTGATTGCCTACATGAGAAAGTTGGCAGAAATTCTAATTCCAAGCAAGGAGAGTTGGTGTAGGATACGAGCAGAAATTTAGGTGAATAAGGGATAGATCTATTGCTGGTGGGAGGAGCTGCTGGCTGTGAGTGGGGGAGACTGAGAGGGAGTACAGAGGACAAAGGTAGCGGCCCAACTATAAACCAAAAATAGCAATAATACATTCAGGGTTAGTGCGCTTGATATTGTGATTTTATTTTATTTCAAAATGACCGGCTTAATTCAGTGTAATACTTGTTTTGCAGCTGTCTTTCAGTACTCTTTTCAAATTTGGATACTGTCCTCTTTGTAAACAAATTACTAGTCTACATGGACAGATTACCTATCTAGAATCTCGAATCTGTGCTCTCCAAGCAGAAATTAGGTGTCCAATTCAGCCATTCCACTCTATTGAGCTGCCGCACTATCAGCCCCCTCTACCACAAAGTTCCTGCAGGAAAAGGGCAGTATGGACAACCGTGGGATCAGGTAGGGTGAGAGCTGTGGACCATAAACACCAAGCTTTTCAGTTCTGACTTTGGAAAAATTGTATCTTTTTCTAGAAAGAGAAAAGGAGAATCTCAATGGCTTCTGAAAAAGGTGGGTCTTCTGTGATAGAAACCCAGAAGGGAAAGGGGAAATGCCACCCATTCCTGCTGCTTTTATTCTGGAGGCCTTCTGCAATGGCAACAGGGAACATGAAAGGAAACTTATTTTCCTTCTGCCTCTCTGAATCAGAGGGTATGAGGAATAGTTCCTGATCCTTCCAGATGCCTTTAAGAGGAAGGGGTAAAAGATGCAAAGGAGTATGTTGAGAACTTACATTTCTCAAGGCGGGAATGCCTGTTAGGTCAAAGTTAAATTGTTGCCTAATATTAAGCATGAGAAATGCAAAGCAAAGTATCTGTTAAGTCATGGGAAGGGCAGGAAAAAGAAGTAGCTAACCTAAATTGCTAGGGTATAATAGAAGTGTGCTGGCAAATGGCAATTGACTCCCTAAAGTGGCATCATTTTAGAATGCAGTAAAAATTTGTATTTAGCCATTAAGTTTCAAGTGTTTCTGCTGAATTCAAGACAGGGGATCTGACAGTGATGCTGCCATGGATGAAAGTTTTCTGAAATGGTGCCTCTGGGTTGTTCCCTGTTTTTTCCCCTCAGCTGGTTCTTTCTTCACACTTTTTCTTTGGCTGTTTTGTATAACAGCTGGTGATGTTTTTCCAATGTCGGGAGGTTATTGGGGCTTGGATTGGAAGAAATAGGGTGATGTTGAACCCCAAAAGACAGAACTGTTGTTTGCTGATCAAGGCTCTTCATGTGTGGTCTTTCAAGGGAGTGGCATTGCCCCTGAAGCAGCAGGTTTGCAACTTGGGGGATCCTCTTGGACTAATAGCTATTGCTATATGGACAGGTGGAAGGTATCTGGGAGACTTTTTGCCTGGCTCCAAATGGGACACCTGTTGAGCTTTTCCTGCACTCAGAGGATTTTGAAACTCAGAGCATTTTTTCAATGCATCCTTATGGGGCTGCATTTAATGATCTACCAGATACCACAGTTTAGGCAAAATGAATACCTACCATAGTCATTTTTAGTCTATTTACCAACTGGTACTAGGTGCCAGAATCATATTTACCCTGCATTAGCTGCCAGTAGACTTCCAGATGTGATTTAGGTTGTGATGATATAGACATTTAACACATAAATAAATAGTTTATTGTACCTGTGCTTTTCTTTTATCATGTCAACATTTATAGTTTAATGGCATCTTGGGGATGGGCTTCTGGACACTGAATGTGAGCCTAAAGCTTTAAAGTTATGCTCTCCTTTTGTTCAGATAAAAATGACAAGTTCACATTGTTACTCTGAAGTTGGTGATCATATCCTGCACTAAAACCTTCCTGTGTAATATGGGAATTGTATATAGAAATGTTGTAGATGCTGCACAGGATTTTATACATTAAGTTTGAAATCTTGCTCCTCAAAATATTCAAGGCTGTTTACATGTACTTTCTAGATTACCATCTGACCAATGGCCATGACTGGTCACTCTTTAAAATGTCCTAGTTGATTTAAAGGACTAAAACAGATTTCCCCAGATGGATGCTTTCCAGATATGCGGTAGTACAATTGCCATAGGCCACAGTTCACAGAAGACTTTGGCTTGACTGTACTGGAAATGTGAAAATTGTAGGGCAGCACATCTGGATTGCACCTTGTTGAAGAATGTAGACTTTCAGTTGGGTTTCTGTTTGCTTCTAATGTAGGAATATCAACCAAGATAAACTCAATATCTGATTAAAATTATCTTACATTAGGTCAAACAATTAGTCTTCTCACCAAGTCACCACGACTTTCCAACAAAACAATTCTAAACATAAATTTTATGGCACTTTACTCAAATTCAAATGTTGCCTACATAATTATTTTCTCACCCTCATGTTATCTACAGAATGAATTTGTAGCTTTAGCCCTATCTAAGAAATGTCTAACAAATAATGAAAGTTCACCAGGAATCTATTCAATAGATTGCAACTCTGAGAATAGAGATGAGAGGCTCTCTGAGCTTAGTTGTTTTCTTACAAATGTTTCATTACCAAAATTAGGTAACATCATCAGTGTTCTGAGGAGGTTATCCAGATGTTACCTAGTTCGGGTGATGAAACATCTGCAAGAAAACAATCAAGCTCAGAGAGCACTAAGCACCCCTCATTTCAACCATGAGTTACAAATATCCTCCTTTAGTGACAGCATAGAGAGTTTGAAAAATTTCCCTTTTGGGAAATTTTGGGATTCATGAAGCCCATTAGAGGAAAAAAATCTTCAAGTAAGTACATTTCCTTGGTTCCACACCAATGAGCCAATGCATAAAATTGTTTGTTTTTTATTTGCCAATCTGATGAATCTTCTTGGCCAAGTCCTGGAGCTTGTTTGTAGCAAAAAGCAGTGTTTTGGGGAGTATCTTTGCATCCAGGGTTAGAAGTGATCTTACCATTTGTGTTCTGCTTTTTCTCTTGTCCTAGGGCTCAGCAGGGACCAAGGAACAGTGCACCACAGGGAAATTTACTGCCAGTGGGGAATGCTGTCGAGCCTGTAACTCTGGGGAAGGAGTTGCCCAACCTTGTGGAGTAAGCCAAACTGTTTGTGAACCTTGCCTGGACAGTAAGTAACATATTATTAGTATTGTAGTAAGTACACTGCACTTATTTCACCCTTTTTTCTTTCAGTACTGACTCAGCATTCACAAGGTTTCTCTTCATTATACTCCTCCATAGGGACAGTTCTCTTGCATAGGCTGAACTTGGAAAAACAGATTGGTCTAAAAGTAGTAATGAGCTCTGTGCCTGAAATGTATGCAACTTTTTGGATCAGTTGATTAACCCAGTATTTGAAGGATCACTCAGGTCAAAGAAGAATTCTTTTAAAGGCAGAGTGGAGGCTCAATTATGATCAGTGACCATTATATCCTACTGGACCATGTGGGGAGGGGAGGGATTGAGGGTACACCTTCAAGTGGTAGTTCCAGCTGGTAGTGGGGAAGGAGAGGTCCCCAGTCACCTGATAATGAAAAGGTCATCAGCATGATACTGTGTTTCCCTCAAAATAAGACCCTGTCTTATATTTTTTTTGAATCCTGAAATAAGTGCTTGGCCTTATTGCCATGCGCTCAAAAGCCCTATTGGGCTTATTATCAGGGGATGTCTTATTTTGGGGAAAACAGGGTATCATAATCAAAGTTATCAAAGACCACTGAGAAACCTTACGGGCTTTAGTGCCTTGGGAACATATGAGCATTGTCATGAACATCCTTAAGAAAATAATTCTCCTTTGTACTCAGAAGAAGATTAAAATTGCATGTCCATTTGGGTATGAACCTGTTTTTAAGCATGCTTTTTGAAGGCAAAGGGGAAGCCCAACAAGTAATAGCTTTCTAAAAAACTTTAATGTAGTTTTTTTTCTAGGCTAATACTTTCCATCTACTTTATCTATTAAACTGATTTATATTCTACCTTTCTATTTAATCAGGTAGAAAGATTAGCTGCATGATTAACTAATTATATAACAGAAAATACAGAGTGAAGTTTTTAAACATAACATAAAGTTAACAGTAAAATGAATTTGGAGTCAAAAGCATTATGTGGAGCTACAATCCACATCATGCTTAGGTTTCATGATCATTAGCACTTTGGCTGGACATAATCACAGATTAGTCCACTCATTTTAGAAGGTGCCTTTAAGCACCTTTAAGCAGGGGAACCTGCTTAATTGTTCAGGTAACAAGTTACAGATATATTGATTTTGCCTTTGTCAGTGAATTTTACTTTGTGACAATTGGGTAGAGTTTAACTAAACAGTGAAAAACAATATCCATTCTTTCTTCAGTTTTTTTAAGGGAAGGGAAATGTAAGAAGTTTCTATGAAATTAAAAATTGAAGTCCATAAAATAAGCTGCTTTTAAATATATTTTTATTGTATGTACATGTCTTAGGACAAATGTCACTGATTTTCCTATATGTTTTAATTACAAAATTACTTTCACTAATCCTTTCATAGAATTAGTAGATAAACTGTTTTCCTGAGTAAATCTATTTATTATGAATCAAGTATTAGTTGCTTTAGAATTTCAGGAATTGTGATCATGTGACCATGGCTCACTCTGGGATGTTACAATTGAGGTAGCCAAGTACCAGTGACCATAGGGACACTGTGATGGCCAGAACTTTGAGGACTACCACTTGTTCAACATCATTGTCGAACAGAGAGCAACAATAAGAGCCGAGGTGGTGCAGTGGTTAGAGTGCAGTAGATACATGTACATGGTGAGAGAAACGAATCTTGTGAGTTTGCCAGACGGATGTCATAGGGAACAAAACGGTTACAGAATCTGGTAGTTCTCCTAGAAATACTTTGAAGCCTCCTCCCAGAGGGGAGCAACAGAAAAAGACTCGTAAAGTGGGTGTGTGGGGTCTCTGACAATGCTTTGAGCTCTAAGCACATAGCGCTTATAAGCAGCATCCTGAATGACGGGAAGTGAGCTTCCTATAATCATCTCGGCTGTCCTTACCACTCTCTGAATGGACTTTCCCTCTGAGGTACTGCTGCCATCAAACCAAACAGTGATGCAGTTTGTTAAAACGCTCTCAATCATTCCTCTGTAAAAAGTGGCCAGGACAGAAGGAGAAACATGTTCTCTCTTCACCCAACGCAGGAAATGCAGATACTAGTTTGCATGCTTCACAAAGGATGACGTGTGGAGAGACCAGTTCACATTGTTAGTTTCTGCACCCCAGATACTTAATACTGTTGACCACCTCTACAGATGCATTCTTAATACTGAATGGAGTATAAACATGCCGGTTCTTTCTAAAATCTACAATGATCTCCTTTGTTTTATTAACATTTAGAACCAGGTTACTTGTATTGCACCAGTCCACCAGAGCCTTCATAAAAAGTATCATTCCTTCTAATTGAGGAATCTTGCTTTGATGGTGATAGAACAGCAGTCTCCAGTTCTAACTTAGAAAGCCAGAACTGATGGCCTGGTACACATGGTTCTTAAAGGCTGCTGCTGCTGTTCTTTCATCTTCACTGATTCTTCTTGGAAGAATTGCCTAACTTTCTCTAATGGTATAGCCAGGATTCCTGCCGGCCAATATTAAGCACCTTTGAGGAACCAACCTGACATATTAGCATAGTTGAGAACATTTAAACTGTGCTCTTTTTAGACTCTAAATCTACATTTATCTAGTTTAGCAATCATGCTATTTGATCCTTCAGGATTTTAACAGCACAAAGCTGAATCTGTGTTTGATTACCCGCAGATACCTCTGATGTCTTCAATTTTCTTGGTAACTGAGTTATTCCATAACTGCTATGAAAATTCTTTGAATATGTACGTTTATGATTCCCATCACGTTCAGAAGGGATCTTCTGAGTAATTCATTTCAATTTCATTCTCAGGAAGTCATTTTCCTCCACAAAATATCAAAAAGCTGGCCATTTTTTGTTTGTTTGTTTTTTAAAAAAGACAGTCCAAATAGTTCAGCTCCTTTTTCTCTGGAAGGTTTTCATCTAAACTCCTTATTAGGTTGCACTTTTGTGTTATTGTTTTAGAAATACCATTTACCACAGTGTGTCCCTGGGTATAACATATTTAAATCTCTTTCTGCTTCAGTTTCTTTTAAAAAATATAATCTGTTACACACTGTATACTATATTTGCAGTACTATATATCTGAAACCAAGAACATGACCTTGCAGTATCCTTGAAACATGTTCCAAGGATATTGTAGAGGTTCTCCTCTACAATATCACATCCTTAGTGTCTTGAACCAAGAAACCTAGGTTCAAATGTCAACTAGGATTGTATATGCCCTGTTTTCATTCACTTCGGCATTCTTCTGGAGTTTCTGCCAGAGTAAAATACTACTCCAAACTCCTATGGACTATAGGATAGAAGTCAAATAAATCAATGAAAACACATTTAAAACTCTCTCTTAGGCCCAGAATAGTAATCCATTCAGGAAATTGTATGTTAATGCTTCTGCAGGATGCTTAGTTTTAGGCTTTGGAGGTTCTCCAAGAGCAGTAGGAATAATTATAGTATTACTGCGGTTATTGCTTTATGTTGCCTTTCATTTTCTGGGTGGGATACTGTGAAACTTATTAAAGTACATACCTCTCCAAAACAGTTATATATTTCTGTTTATGTCTTAGAATTAACCTTAACTGTGCTTCAGAGGCTGAAAGAAAAATAAGGTATTTAATACTCCCTCCTTCAGTTTGCTCCACATACAGCAACCCATTGGGTAGCTTGGGGTCTATTTAATATTTTTCTGGAAGAGTGCTAAACCGGTGCTAAGAGCAGCTTCAAAAACAGTTGGCAGGGAGGGAAAGCGCATAAGCACCCCCTCTCTCTGGTGCTTCATTATGCAATCCCACATCCAACTCCCCAGTAATTGTTTAGGCTGCTTTTTGAACACAATTTAATGCTGCATTCCAAATAGCACCTATCAGACACCCTGAATGGGGCCAGAGTTACACCATAAAGCAGCAGAGAGAGAGAGAAATCCACCTCACTCTGTCCTATTCCAGCATGTTTCATCTTCTCCATCTACCATCCACTTGCTTCCGTTCAGATTGATTTAGATTTGTATATCTGTGTGTAAAGGGAGACAGCCAAGTTTGAAACCATGGAGGAAAGTGGCCAGGAACCAAAGCATACCACAACCAGTCAAAAGTGGCCAAGAGATTCTGTGCAGATACCTTCCCCCTAAGGATCACCTGACAGTGTCTTAAACAAAATGGTAAATTTTGTCGAAATCTAACATGGTAAAATTGCCACAACATATTGGCTCATTAAAGGAAGATACCCTATTTTAACATTGAAATAGCTAAAGGTGGCTTTAGGCTGCCTTAAATATGGGTTGGGAACAAGATAGAAAGTTTTGGGAGAAAGCATTAATAGTTACCTGGGCAGGCATTATGGTTAGATGCAAGCAGGAAAGGGTTTTTAGACTAGATCCTGGTGCAATAGCTCAACTAATGTCCTCCTCTGATGGATCTCTTTTATGTCCTGATATTTCTCCACTTACATCAATTATTTTTAAAAAAATCAAAGTTATTTTCTTTCCCCCATAATCAGCCTATTGGAGACTCCGGGGCACATGTAGAAATTAAGCAATTGATTCTGGTTCTGTTTGGAGCTTATCTCTAAATATGAGCAAGCCTTTTTCTGCAAAATTCTAGGAAATCTTATTCTGGACCAGGCAGGCTCTGCTTCCACACCTTCAAATGCATGGAGGACCTTGGCAATGAGAGGGCTGGGTGGAGGAAATCTAAAGTCTCTTCTGCTCTTCACAGCATTTGTTAAAATACCTAAAAATAACCTTCTTGTACAAAATCAATGGCTGCTACTTAATCTCAACATGGAAGGATAGCAGAGATGCAGGATATCAAATACCAACCAAGAATCTGACCTTGGAAGAGTTGCTGTATTGGCATTTGACAGTGCAAGAAAAAAAATTAGAGAAGCTAGTGGCCATGTTTTGCAAGACAAGGGGGGCTGGGAAGAAATACAAAGCAAATTGGTTTTGTGTCTCAGGTTCTTGTCAAATCTCAGAGGGCTCAGATGCCCATTTAGCACTTTTCTAGAAGAACACA